ATAACCAGGTATTGACGATTTTAGTACTGACGGATTTTTAGTTATTTTTGTGTAAAAAGGATTTACGGAAAGAGTTCGCTTAAAAATTTGAAATATTCATATTATAAAGATACAAATTACGAGAATCTTATAATATATACTTATTTATCGTTTAAGATCAATATCACAATTTATAGTTACATATGTATCAGTTACTATGCACATATATAATTACTATATAATCGAACAAAAAAATTTATCTGTGAAGATGTATACATGAACATGCCAATATTTTAAAGGCTTTATTTATTTAGATAACCCTCCGATTTATTAAAATTACTTATCGTTATAATTACTTATGTTACTATTGGATTCTATTGCGCCACAATTTTTAATAAAAAAAGAACACTTAAAGAGTATATTAAGAAGACTTTGGCAAGTCTAACCTTATTTGTACATGTTTATACATTCAAGAGATATTGGGTTTGAATTTTTTTTAAAAAAAACCTGACCAACAATTTACTACGTATATTTATAATTAGACTGATATAAAATACTCTAATAAAGAATCCAGTATATACATATGTGGAAGAAAAATAAATAATTATTAAGCATTACTACAACTGCATTGAGCAAATACTTATGTATTAGTCATTATGACACCTATTATAACCATTACATTCATTATAACTGTTGTATTTATTACATCTATTACACCTATTACAACTATTACACCTATTACAACTATTACACCCATTACAGCTATTACAGCTATTATGACAATTACAGCTGTTACAACTATTACACTCATTACAACTATTACAGCTATTATGACAATTACAGCTATTATGATTATTACACTCTTTACAGCAAAAAATTACAACTTTAAGTCAAAGGGTTGCAACTTTACAACTCTATCAAATCTATTACGACAGGCAACCTTAATTCTAACATCTTAATACCAAACAACATCAAATTATAACAACCATTATTTTTCAAGCTCCAACATTTCAGAAATACAGTTCAGCAATAATCAATTTTGTTTATTAATCAATATATATAACATTCAAGAATTTAATAAAAACCTGAAACAACAAGTATAAGAAGACTCTGTTTCTCCAACAACCTTAGCATTATTAGTATAACAAAAACCAATATTGTAACTAACAACCCAATTAACAAATTACAAAAATCCAAATATTATATATACTTGTGGTCATGCACTTAAGATCTTAAAGTAGACACAGCTGTTATAATTCACAAGTTTATAAAAACACATATTTACAAAATAGTTTCCTTTTTAGAATATGCCATTACAGTAGACATTTTTTTTAAACATAACTTCAAATTCATAATTATTTTAGTTTACTTAGTATATAATAACACCCAATTAAGATAAGACTATCAGTACAAAACATTATAATACAATAACTCCAACAAGCTTATACATTAAATATTCAACCTATTGTCCTAGAAGACTTTAATGCCTCTGATAACATCTTTCATTCCTTATCAATTAAATATAAATTGCTTTATTTTCTTTAATACAACAATATATATAACCTAACTATATATACCAATAACTCAACATCTACTTGGCAAAGCAACAGATTCCAGAGTAGCTTAGATTACATCTGAGCTAATTAAACTCTTTTTCAATATCTTAACTCTTTTATCACAAATAATCCTGATACTAGTACTCAAAGTGATCATAAAATTTTAAACTCTTGTTGGTACTTTTCTTATAAATATATAAACAAACCAGATATTTTACCAAAACCTGTAGAAGGACATTCTTATACAAAAACATAGATAAAGATAAATGACAATTATTTGCAGACCAAATAATCTCAAATCTTAATAATAACAAAACTCTACTTAGTACACAAACTTCAGAATTACTAGAATCTTTCTAGCACAAAATCCAAAACAGTGTTATCTCTGTTGCTATATAAATATTTCAAATAAAAAATTCACAGTTAGAAACTTTCAAAATATCTTTTTTACAAAGGCATCATCTTTATATCAACATCTCAAGAAATTATGTGATATTATTAAATAAGTCAAATACTTACTACAAAACTATATTTATATATTACATTAAAATAATTACTTTAATAATCAAATAAATACATCTAATCATCTTAATGTTTCACCTTTACCAACTAATCACAACTTATTGCCAAACTGGCTAGCACTTGCTAAAACCAAATAGAAATCTATCTATCATACTACAATATAGAAAATATAAAAGAAATAAGATAACAAATTAATAATAACATTAACAAAAGGTGCTCCAAACTCTAATTAAATCCAAAATCAATGATTAATAACATACTTATCCATCACAAGGACTTAGTCGAATTTAATAACATTAAAACAAACAATGATATAATCATTGATCTTCAAGACATTAAACAGCATATCCAATAACACTTTGACCAATAGACATCTTTTAGACATATTAACTAACAAATCTTTAAATCTAATTGGAAAGAAAAATATAATTATGGGATGTGGTGACCTAGTGAAGTAGTTAGGTTGTCAACCTTCAAGTGGCAGGTTCAGAGTTCAAATCTCAGTGTCGACAGAAAATTTGAAAATCCTCCCTGTGTTATGGTTAACTGTCTCTCGCAATTGGTTGGGATAAGATACC